GACAATATTTGATTAATTGAAAAAGAAAAAACTAACATATTGTTCGTTCGATTTCCTTTGTGCACAAGGAGGTGGGTGGGTAGGGTGTGGAGGGGGTGGTATGCGTTTTCCTTCCCAAACCGTTCGAAAAGAATGGGTAAAAAAATATTTGAAGAAAAGAAAAAAAATTCAGTCTAATGTCAGACCTATCTCCCCGGGACCTCCATGTCAGGTTCAAGGGGTGTACGGACCCTTGCCTGAGCGTAGAGGTGCGAGGTAAGTACATTAGAGTTATTATAAATATTCATTAAGATTAATTAAATATGGGTGATACATAAGGGAGGGGGGAGGGGGAAGTGGGGCGAACGCGTCGGCTCCGGTGCTCCACCTTCACTAAGCCTCAGGCGATGGCTCTGCCCCCAGCTAGCAGCTGTTGCCGGGCTGGGTCCCGACACACCCAAAGACTATGTGCAGCTTGATTTTAGATCATGAATTGTTAGCAAAGCTAACTAGCACCTAACAGCCCGTAAACCATACCTTCGATAGTCTAGAGACAGGGCGTCTAAAGTGAAGGTTGTTTGAATATCTGCCCCTCACAAAAGAAGGTTGTTTAAGGAAGATCAAGGAATGAAAAAAGACGCAAAACAGATATCAAAAGTAAAAGAAACCCGAAAACCGAGTAGAAGCGCTGCAATGAGTTCAAAATCTTTCATTTGGCGGCATTCAAAGTGGGTTTCCAGCAATTTACAGCGCAGGGGAAAACGAGAAAAAGCTAACCTGTTACTGTTGTTTGTTTGTTGATTGTTTTAAAAAGAACCGTGTTTCGGAAGTGGTGGTTATTAAGAAGAAGGTAAACTAGAAAGAAATTAATTAGGAAAACACAAAGTTTCCTTTTTACTAAGTCAGAGTGCACGTCAGAGCCAAATTTAGCTGTTGATGCGTCGTTCAAAATTTTTCCCGCATTGACGTTCCTTTTTCCTGGGACGTTGTCTGGATTGTTGCGAGCTGCGAAAACACTGAAAGAGAACGAGGTTAAAAAGACGCACTTTTTACAGACACAAGAAAATCAAGCTCTGGGAGGTAGTCTACAACATGAATGGAAGCAGGTCTATCGGACGACAGATTTTCGAAAACACGACCTTCGCCATATTTTTCCTTCAAAACAGAAATTGGGGCTTTGGGATTGTCAGCGTGAAAGCAGAGAACAGCTTTAATATGGTATACAGCTTGCTAGAATTGGTTTCAGAACAACGAATAAAGGAGGATAAGGGAGTACCAGAGGCAAATGCCCCGTGCCCCGCTGGGGTAGCGAGATAGAGCGCAGGCGGAGACGCAGACAAGCGAAGCAGAAAGACCAGAGGCGACGGGGCATTTGGCTCTAGTCGTAGATCTCTGAGGTGTACCGCGTATGAATTCGGTTAAGTCGATAACGCATGAATGATCTGCACGGTGCGAGCGATGCATCACAACAATCTTTTGGTAAGGCATACTTTTCTCTAAGCTTGTACTCAGTCTAAGCTATGAGGACTCCTTTGCCTTATTTTTGAGATCAAAGCATTTTGAAACTCCCTGCTGTGCGAATTTACAACCGCATTTAATCTCTATAGAAATGATCAAAGTTACAAGAAGAATTCAACGCACAGTAACCGACATGAGTATAATTAGCAGAGCCAAGAAATTCCTGGGGTTTATTTCTTAACAACATCAAATCGAACGATTTTGTGAGCTCAGAATAGGTGACAAAACTGATGAGTCAGAAGCCTACCAGGAGAGGAATGTGAGGTTCAGGACAGATTCTTCGCGAAGTGAAAGCATAAATTTATGAAATTTTTTGAGAGCTATTTCGAGTTATCATAGTCCAATCAGTCTCAACATTGAAGTCTTCTGATCTGGGGTAGAGGAATGAACGCCTCAATTAGTCACTGCCTCTGCGGACTACTGGTCTTAAGACGATGCACAACAGTGCGACGGAAGGACCAGCATGCTATAGAGGCGATGCCTAAATGAGGTGTTCGTTCCTCTACCCTAATTAATTGAGGTCCCCCTAATGTACTCTAACTCGTAGATAAGTCCAGTCATTAGATTTATACGTGCTTTCTGGATTGAGTTGGGAGGGCAGTAAATGGTAATAAACCTACTTATGTTATGCTGAAACGTGAGCGCATTTACGTCTGCTTGTAGTTTAGACTCGTGTTTGAACACGTGTTGAAATAGGAAACTTCATCGTCTCAGATAATCGCCGGGGACAGGCGGTCCACAAACTCGCGCTTTTCTGCATGCGGTCAGCAGAATTTTGGGGCGTGGCCAAACCTTCAGCGAGCGGTACTTCCTTTACTGTCTAATGTTCTGCCAGCGGGCAGCAACACAGAATTTTCTGCAGGCGCTCTTCAAATAATTTCCTTCAGCGAGCGCTGGTCAAATTTTAGCTGGCGCTCGGACGTTTTTAAGCAGTTTCAGGCGTACGTCGAGCAAAGGTGAGACTCTACATGGCAGAGGTGTCATCGATGGTTTAATTACTCAAGTTTGAGGTACTCTCTCTCAGCGGAAAGTACCTGGGGGTCCTGCGCGGTCCTCCACAAAGGATCGTGCGGCCCCCCAAAAATTCTGCATATTCTCGCTGGAAGTCCGCGAGAATATGCAGCTAATCTGTAGGGAAACCGCGATTGTTCTCCAAACATTCGTCTGAAATTTCGCTAAAATTCTTCCAAATATTGTTGAAGCTGCGGACGAACCGCCCTCCTTCCTTTGTCCGCTCATTTTCGGATGGAAAACAAGGATGAAAAAATGATATTGCATGAGATGATGGAGCTCTTAAAGAGGTACAACCGACATGTTACGCTCAAAAACATGGGTTCCAAAAACTTCAAAAATCTTTTACCAAAAATTTTTTTTAAAATGGTCGCGTCACAAAGTAACGGACAATAACTTTTCGAACAAATTTTCCTTTCAGTTCTCTTTTGGAGCGAAAACACAAGCAACCCGATTGGCAGTACTGTCATCAAGGACACGGCTGCACCACAACGTCTTGTGTTCCGGCGGTGGAACAAATACCTCCCAAGACGACTAGTCAGATAATCGCCGGGGACAGGCGGTCCACAAACTCGCGCTTTTCTGCACGCGGTCAGCAGAATTTTGGGGCGTGGCCAAACCTTCAGCGAGCGGTACTTCCTTTACTGTCTAATGTTCTGCCAGCGGGCAGCAACACAGAATTTTCTGCAGGCGCTTGTCAAATAATCTCTTTCAGCGAGCGCTGGTCAAATTTTCAGCTGGCGCTCGGACGGTTTTATGCAGTTTCGGGCGTACGTCGAGCAAAGGTGAGACTCTACATGGCAGAGGTGTCATCGATGGTCTAATTACTCAAGTTTGAGGTACCTTCTCCCAGCGGAAAGAACCTGGAGCTCGCTGTCCTCCACAAAGGACCGTGCGGCCCTCGAAAATTCTGCATAATCTCGCGAAAAGTCCACGAGAGTGCAGCCACTGCGCCGCAGCTAATCTATAAGGAAACCGCGATTGTTCTTCAAGCATTTATCTAAAATTTCGCTAAAATTCTTCCAAATTCTGCAAGCGGACCGCAAGAAATTAGCGAACTATTTTTCCGGTGCCCGCTTGCCCAAAAATCGCATAGCTGCTTGCTCCCGGCGATTATCTGAGGTAAACAACAGAGATTTTTCCATCTTGCTTGTTTTACTAGCGACTGAAGCAGTACCGCTGTTTTACATCCTTGACGTCAGATTGATGTCAGATCTTTGTAGTTCGGTTGATTGAGCGAAAATCCAAGGTTAGTTCTCCTTTATTGGCTAACGTTTCGGCGCTGTGGCCTCCATCAAAGCCTGAAAATCATAAGAACGAACTCGCTCAGACGTCACTACAAGATTCAAGGTACTACTCGAAAGAACTTTATTACAAATCACATAATATATCGAATCACTAGACGAAACTCCGAGCTTTCTCGCGAAAACACTCCATATTAGAATTGCCGTATTTAGCAGGTCAATGCAATTCCAGAAGTGTACCTGCAGCTCCGCGGAAAGTTGGAGACATTTTCAAATTTTCTGAGAGACTACCTACTTTAGTTCAACTGATGTAGCGTTGTTCATTCCTTTGGTCGATTGACGAGTCTTGAAATTTAATTATTCCCTATAGTTATACTTCCACCAATAAAATCTTGAGAGGAAGCCCAACAAGCAACAGCTAAACGGTTCTCCGAGAATATACTGAGGAAGGGGACACTTTGACCAGTTGGGAGAGGGCTTAGCGGATGTCTTCATAGGCGGTACTCTTTGAGCCTACAAAGACAAAAGTAAAGTCTACCTCTTTTTGCTTGACGTCGATTTGAAGCTCTGATGAAGAGGTATCCTCATTTTATCCCTCAAATCCACTGACAGTTATGCTTCTTTATCTTCCGATTTGATGCAGTCACTGCAAATTACCAGAGATATTTCAGAAAAGGGAGAAGTCAAGTTCTACAATTTGCTTTGCTGTAGCACTAAGAGGATCATTAGCAAACATCGCACACAAATCCGAGTCATCGATTTCAGAATGATGAAGCAGTTTGGCTTGAACTTTGCAGAATTCCGTGCTAAAGAACTTTTTCTGCACAGCTCCGGACCCATGATCTACTGATACCGAAGAACCAGTGAGCGCCGAGCAAAAGATATTTTTAAAAAAAGGTGTAGAAATGAACAGAAAAAATTTTACTGCGCGTACATGTGAAGGTTGAAGTAACTGACAGCTAAAAGAAGACGAAAAGATGGAAAGGCAGATTGTGAGAAAAAAGTTTCACCAACAGTTGAAGCTGTAGAATTGCGACATGTTGTTGCTCTGCCGTGTCGAATAACGATTATCTATGATTTCGCACAGTTTCTCAGTGATCAACGTCTTCTCAAAGAATAATCTATAGCTGAAATGATAACACGCATAGTGCGTTATAGAAAACATGAATCGAGTGAATTTGATTTACAAGAAAACGCAAAGGAGAATAAGCAAAAGCACTGCCACAGCATGAAACGTGCATTGTTTCAAGATCTGAAGTCCATAGCCAATCACGTGCGCTACGTTTCGTCTTGACAACAACTATCCAGAGGTTTCACTGTCGATTTGATATTTTATCTATTAAACAATGAAGTTGCTGCTTGTAATGGTGAGCAGTATTCATTCATACTTCTCAGCAATAATCATATCAATCTGATATTCTTTACAAAACAGGGGCAGATTGTCACAGCACTATCTGGCAATCGAGAAATTCGATCAAGGAGCATTTTGTTAACAACTTTGCTTTCCAAACAAATTTATCCTTTCTCGGTTTTCGGTATATACTCAGTGCTTTGTAACCAAATGTTTCACTTTAAAAACTGGCAAGAGCCTTTTGACTTACAGATAGTTCGTTCCCAATAAGATCCAACTACAGATAAGTCCTTCTATTACAATAACCCAGAAATCTCTCTAATAAGTCGAAGCACCCTTATCCGTTCGGAAATATATAACTTCAGAAGGACTCATCGGCGCGAGATCCTACATGCCAGATTTGAGGGTAGTTGATACTTCCCGTTTAGCTTTATTCAATAAAATTTTGTTTTACCCCGCTATCAAGCTGTTTCTTATATTCGCAGCGTAAAATACCCTCATTTTTTGGCTTAGAGAAAACCAGAACTTGTTTTGACACTGCACCTGCGTATACATACATACTTTTTGTATGTGCAGAAAGCTATGTGAACAAAAGTCATGATCCAGTTTTGCTGTGCGAATATAATGGCTGACGACCTTGGCCGTCTGGAAGACAATTACAATAACACAGATGGCAATCATGACGCAGGTATCGCTCATTTATCAGTCGTCATTCATCTCCTTCCACCGGATTTGTGCAGTCATTTTTGAAAAGTACTAGACATCCTAGGGGCTTCGCAGATGCGGCTTTGCTTCTGCAAAAGTTGCGCACGCAGTCTGAGCGGAACTTCTAAGAAAGGAAATATTTTTCTGCTATGTCCTGCTCATAAAAGTGGACTGAGACGATGATATGTCTCTAAAATCATTATTCTTTACAGATGTTCTCAACTGCGAAAAAAATGAAGAAATTGGAGAATGTGGGCGTGAGTGTGAAAATACATGCGCTTTTATCAAGGTGGGCACCTTTCATAGCAATTTCCAAGGATACATATTGTATAATTCAGATGTCATGCTCACTGAAATGTTCTTCAAAAGCTTGTGTTTGCAAAAAGGGGTATTATCGAGATAGCAAAGGAAACTGCACAAACGATTGCCGGAAGGGTTAGTATCATACGCGCTCAGCTGTTACAGTACGAAAACAAGAAACTGCTTGCAATAAGCGTATTGTTAACCCTTGGAAATCTATGAAAAAAAATTATATGAACGCTAAAAATGAATGGTCTATGCTCAAATGAGTTCAGGATGGGCGTCGTACAAAAACAATTGATATAAAAAGGATATTGTTTGAATAAATTGTTAGTACTTATGTCACATTGCTGCAAGGTTGCTGTCTGTGTACAGGTTCAAATTTTGTTTCATAGAGTACCTGTGCGCCGGATACACGTGATTTGTTCACGGCATTATATTTAAAACTGTGCCCTTACAATTGGTAAAACACGCTGATCGGGTAATGTTTGTTGCCAGTAAATATATTTGAAGCCAAGGGCTACGCGACTCGCCAAGCGTGGCAATATACCAGATTTCCTCAAATTCAACTGCTCAACTACAAATGCGCAGTGTGTTTCGTCGACCCATTTGTGACTTAATATGCGTTTTATATGCTTCACTTGACGAACCTGCAAGATCAAAACTTACTCTTTCCACTGAATTCTACTTGTTTCCCTGCTCTTCCGATTTCATTACATACAGCGACCGCCAAGAAGTTGCGGACGAACCGCCCTCCTTCCTTTGTCGCTCATTTTCGGATGGAAAAGAAGGATGAAAAAATGATATTGCATGAAATGATGGAGGTCTTAAAGAGGTACAACCGACATGTTACGCTCAAAAACATGGGTTCCAAAAACTTCAAAAATCTTTTACCAAAAATTTTTTTTAAAATGGTCGCATCACAAAGTAACGGACAATAACTTTTCGAACAAATTTTCCTTTCAGTTCTCTTTTGGAGCGAAAACACAAGCAACCCGATTGGCACTACTGTCATCAAGGACACGGCCGCACCACAACGTCTTGTGTTCCGACGGTGGAACAAATACTTCCCAAGACGACTAGTCAGATAATCGCCGGGGACAGGCGGTCCACAAACTCGCGCTTTTCTGCACGCGGTCAGCAGAATTTTGGGGCGTGGCCAAACCTTCAGCGAGCGGTACTTCCTTTACTGTCTAATGTTCTGCCAGCGGGCAGCAACACAGAATTTTCTGCAGGCGCTTGTCAAATAATCTCTTTCAGCGAGCGCTGGTCAAATTTTCAGCTGGCGCTCGGACGGTTTTATGCAGTTTCGGGCGTACGTCGAGCAAAGGTGAGACTCTACATGGCAGAGGTGTCATCGATGGTCTAATTACTCAAGTTTGAGGTACCTTCTCCCAGCGGAAAGTACCTGGAGCTCGCGGTCCTCCACAAAGGACCGTGCGGCCCTCGAAAATTCTGCATAATCTCGCGGAAAGTCCACGAGAGTGCAGCCACTGCGCCGCAGCTAATCTATAAGGAAACCGCGATTGTTCTTCAAACATTCATCTAAAATTTCGCTAAAATTCTTCCAAATTCTGCAAGCGGACCGCAAGAAATTAACGAACTATTGTTCCGGTGCCCGCCCGCCCATAAATCGCAAGGCAGCCTGCCCCCGGCGATTATCTGAGCTGCTATCAAAGCTCCTTCAAAATACACTTGACATTCGAACATTCGACATTGCATTCTACACATGTATTTAGAATCAGCTTGGAGCGCTGATTCCAAAAATGCTGTTCCAGGCTGCTTAGCATTATCCGGAAGCGAGTTATAGTCTCTTTTCTATGCAAAGTTTGCGTGCTCCTTGACCTTACTGATGCTACTTTGTCGACATCTAGGTAGTTTTGCAGCTGTATAATGCTCTTTCAAGATCGAAAAAATTAATCTGATGCTAGTTCAGCATCCTAACAATTTTTAAGAGCAGATTCTTATCTACGCGGCGTCGTACGACATTCAGAAATTTGTTGATTACTTACAACAGCAAGCACATAACTCGCTTCAGAATAGCGCTAAGCAACTAGAAACAGCATATTTGAAATCAGCGTTCAAAGCTGATTCCTATGTGTCTCATCTCAAAAGGCAAATCCAAGTTGAGATCCTTCCCTTGTTAGTTACTAAAAAGCACAAACCAGATCTTCATTTTGCGTTTTTTTAGAGATTACTTCTAATTTCCTAAACCAAAACAAATTTCTTCGCATGTAAGCCAATGCAAAATATCCCAACAAAGCTTTCTGAACAAGGACGCTCTTTACCTTTCTCTATAGATCGGACGTGTCCTTGTGAGTTTCTTTGCTGAAGCTCTTGGAAGTGCGAGACATGACCTCACCTGCACCTCACCAACAATTTGTACCGTTTTAAAGGCTTTTAGCTCGGCCGGCAGTAATTCTACGAGCGCGTATGTAGGCTCGTTCGAAAGGACGTGACATCGTTGACAAGTGGTATGCGAGCTTAGTTCAAGAAACCCCGGAACTTTTGAGGATAGTTGATAAAGCGCAGTTTAGTAGCAAACTAGGATTTTCCAACTAAAGTTAAGCAGAGTTCTTTTCGTTACCAGTTCCATCCTGAAAGTTCAGAACTGTCGATTTTTTTGTGTTTCCCAGATTTTAGAGATCGGGGACCCGCAAAAATTTGAGGAGCACCCCAAAAAATTTTTCGGAGTGCGTGGCTAACGCCACGCACCTTCAGTGGAGAAATTTTTTGCCCCCCCCCCACTCCCGGACGGCAATCCTGGGACCGCCACTGCGCACGACAACGGCTTTTTCGTTTCACACGGCAGCGTATTATCGTGGAGCCATGTCTGCATCTTCTCAGTCTCTTCAATGACCGATAAGATGCTCACGCTGTGCACTAGCAGCGTCCTGCGAAGCAGACGCACCGCACTAAATGAATGCTTTCGCTAACACCGGAATGAAGCAAACTATAGACATTTTGAGTGGAAAAGCCTTTAGCTTTGAGGCGCTTTTAGTGTGATTAGGTTGCATGCCTTAGCTACGTTAAGAGAAATTAAACCTCTTTATAACAACGACTTCACAGAAGAGTGCGCTGCGCCAAATATGGAGAGGAAACGTTGCGCGAAAAAACCTGATTGTCAGAATACATGTGTCGGTAAGGTGGGAAGTATACTCTTCAACTGTTCAATATAATTTCCCATTTCAAGATTGGTTCGGTTAAGTTTTGCAAAGATGCTTGTGTACCGTATGGCTGCGAATGTAAAAGCGGATTCCTGCTTCTAGAACCACGTTACGATTTCCCTCAGTGTGTGACTGAAAAAGAATGCAAGTGAGTTTTCTTCTGTTGTAAACAAAAAATCCAAGATATTAAGAGTCTACTTATGGAAGAGAGCGCAAAAGTTCGACAGCCTTGACAAGTCGATATTCAAGTACTATCTCGTGCTTTGAAAGATGTCAACGTATCTTACTATCGTAGAATCCCTTATAATCTCAAATAGTGAAGTAATAAAAGTCAGTTAACTTCTTAACATGTGCAGTGTGAATTGTATATATCAACTGTGACTGAGAAAGCAGTAGTAATACAAAGAGAACAACTGTATGATAAGTTCCGTTTAACTCCTTCCCTTAGACGGAATTTTTATTCTTAGGCCCTAGGGACTTTTCAGTAAGGAAGAGTCTAAATGAACTCAAAACATTTGGAATAAGTTATAAAACTCATGTCGTACATTTTTCTCCTTCTGGGTTTTTGAGGTTCTCTCACTATCCTATGTTAAGTGACCGAAGTTTTGTCTCACAAGGGAAGGAAGGTAGGTCGAAGTGGCCTTTCAAAATGAGGTGGGTGTCATCTTGTAGGGCTTCGAACGCTAATTTCAAATCTGCCTTCCCTATCTGTGGCGCGTTTTTGGGCGAGGAGTTATGAGGGTTTGAAGGGGCGGAAGTCGATACAAGTGCAATCAAGGAAAGCACACCGCTGTGTGCTGTCTGGTGTAGTGGTTAGTATGGTGGTCTTGCAGGCAGAGGATCCCAGGTTTGAATATCCTGTTGTCGTTTTTCTTTTGCTGGTCTACAAAAAATTTGCATGAGTACGCATATCTTCTGTACATCACCTCTTCCTTCTGTTGTCTGCAAATCTCTTCAAAAAGGTTTTAATACTCTATTTCAAACGTCTATGTGCACTGATCAAAGGAGAGAACAAAATGTGCAAAACATAGGCATTTTTCACAATGAGAGCAACGAATGAAGTTACTTCTGAACAATCCGAATGGTCACACTCTCCTATCAAACTGGAATGGAAGCAGTACTGTCCAGGCGTTTCAAAATCTGTCGGATGTGCATCAAGGTAGCCGTTAGCGTACCAGGAATAAGTTGAACATTGTCGAATATGTTGATAACATTGTGACCCCTTACGTTTACCCGGGTATTACGTGACAAATTGATTCTTTTGACATTTCTACTTCCACTTCAAAACACTTGCAAAGACCCTCAAAGAAGGCAGTTGTTGCCTCGAGATTCTGATAAAAGAAACAGGGGGTGGTGTATGGACGCTGCCCATGCTCATATAAATTTCTGTAGACCAGCAAAACGAAAACCACAACAGGAGATTTGAACCTGAGAGCCTCTGCCTGCAAGACCACTATACTAACCACTACACCAGACAGCACACAGCGGTGTCCTTTCCTTGAGAGTACTTGTATCGACTTCCGCCCCCTACAAACCCTCATAACTCTTCGCCCAAAAACGCGCCGCAGATAAGGAAAACAGATTTGAAATCAGCGTTCGGAGCCCTACAAGATGATACCCACCCCATTCTAAAAGGCCACTTTGACTTACCTTCCTTCCCTTGTCAGAATTCTGTGCGCCTGTCTGTACGTTGTCTGTATGTTTCAACTAGAAACTTCTTAAACCGATCTGGACCAAGCTCTGCGCACATACACTTCGGGGCGGGGCAATGTGCGTAGGTCCCTTTTCTTACCGATCGATACTGTTTTCATCGATTTTTTTGCGCTGACTATTATTAATTTTTTGCAAAGTTTGAGCTGTGGGGCTGGGAGTTGGCACGGAGGGGTAAGTGAGCATGCTGATTACGAATATATTAGGTCGTTCCATAAGTTCGTAGCGTATTCATAAACTAACGAAATGACAAAGTTTTTGTCAAAATTCCGTCGATACTGTATTTTTCGCTGCTGCGCGCAACCTCCTGCCATTTTACCGTCAGATTTTCAACTTTCTTTTTATCGAAATTCAGTAGGTCTGGTTCCAAAAAATCGTATAAACCAACGCCTAAGATCGTCTTCAACACGTTGACGACCTTGCGCATACGCACCTATGCACGCCCTGACTCCCGTTTAGCATTTTCGTGCATCCTCGCATATGCACGCTAGTTTTTCAGGTGTAATCGAAAAGTTCTAATGCAACTTCTATGCAGCAATGCTACTGGTGGCCTTATTGCCTTGTAGAACACAGGGAATCGCGGCAGCTTTTCAGAAGTATGAACCGCAAAATTGGGTGATCATCCATTTTTAATGCGGTAAATACATGCTAATTACGTTTTTCCGAGAAGGTGGGAACTCTGAGCTGTTTTGAAAGCAAACAAGGATGAATCAAGCAACAAACACCTGATATTACAACGCTTTCTTCGAAGAAGGATTCCTCAGATATAGCCCTTGCATTTTTTAATGGAGGGAAAATCGATGCAAAAACCTTGATTTGTGTAAGTCCTGAACACTCTATGAAACACTCTAACACTCTAACACTTTAACACCCCCAAATGCGCGAAGGACATTAGTGGGAGCTTCGCCTAAAATGGCGAGGTCGTCAACGTGTTAAAATCGGAACAAGCACCGTTCATACGGTTTGCAAGAGAGCCGGACAAAAGCATTTGGTGAGGCGAGGTCTGAAGAGTAAATGGGGTAGTAATATGTCCCTCGGTCACGTCTTACACGATAGTTTTGACGACGTTTGCCGTATGGAGCCATACTTTGTCAAGAGAAAAATTCGTTAGACCCATCTTTTGAGTCATTTTTGCAGTGATTCGTTTAGACATCTGAGTTGCGTACGGCATGGTCGACCGTCTTGTTCTTGACTAGCAATTTTTTAGCAATTAGCGGCGGCAGCGCAGAACCTCCTACTCGTGCTGCAAAAAGTCTTGTTTAGGGGACACGCTCAAATTCTTGGTTTCTTTAGAACAATCTTGTCCTTTTTTGCCTCATATTAACGGAGAGCGACGTTTTTCACAGTCGGCAAAAACCCTGCAAAAACACTTTTTCTGTGTGAAAAAATGAGCAGATGTCAAAAATGCTTATTTTTGTCGTTTAAAAATTCCACATTTGGAAATTGAAAAATCGAAGCGGGTCAGCTTTTCATTAAAACTAATAGGTTCGTTGTAAGATCATGTTAGTCTTTTCAACAGTATGCGCACCTTGCCGCAAAACAACCACCTCCAGAGGAATGAGAAGGGGAATGAAAACGCTTACGTTACGAACTTTTGGAACCACCCAATATTATTGACAACTTCGCGAGCTATCCTGGCGGCATCTCGTCGAAATTTCAACGCTGAGAGATGCCGCCAGGTCAGAGGGTACGAAAAACAGCGTGCTCTTTTGAGAGATCAAGGTGCCACTATCCCGACGTGCCCCTACCACGTCGAGGTGGCGGCACCTTGCTGGCGGCGTCTGCAGGTTTGCGAATTGCGGCGATATCACACAATTTACGTCAGGCAAAAAAATCAAAAAATTTTACATCAAAAAACTATCATTTTTCCCATTATGTAAGTTTTTCTTTTTCAAACCGACGGTTTTCTTACAGAGAAAAAATTTATTAGCACCTTAGAACCATAAAGAACACCATCGTTTTTGGCAATCCCTTCTAAATCTCGTCTGCACCGATTTCACCCCCCTCTCGCTCATGTCAATCAGCTGTTCTTTCAGGTCAAAGTCTCCCACGCAATGTATTGATTCCTCTTACAGGCGGCCACGTACCGGTGCGTCCCTCCGATTGCTGGTACAATCGGCAATGACTGACCGAATGGTCGAATGGTTAAGGCCCCGGACAGACTTTACGCGATTTGATCGTAGCAACTCAATCGCCGACATTTCCATTCATTTTCATTTCACATTTAAAAATTTCGGGCTGGAAAAGTATCACAACCGAAATGCAAGTTGATCGGCATGGAACGATGTTGTAACAGTTGTCTCGTTGCGATTCAGTCGCGACCATCAAATCGCGTGAAGTCTGTCCGGGGCCTAACGCGGTCCCTAGAAGCTAATGCACTTAGGTTCGACCGCGCGCGAGGTAGCAATTTTGCGGCTGTCTACGTCATCAAAATTTATTGTGCGAAATGATTGCGTACTAAGGTTATATAAGATTATTGAAATCTACAATCATTCCGCGAGCTGCCGCCGAAGATGGCAACTTTCCGTGATGTGTGCCAACTTGGCGACATCTTTGATGCCGCCAAGTAGGGTAGAGTATACCGGCCTCGAGATCGGCGTCATTATCGAAGGTCTAAAAACGAATGTAGTCTCTTCGACTTGCTCACCATAATTTCAAACGCTTTTTCCCGCTCTGTTAGTCTAGGCCTAGTCTGAGACTTGCAGCATAAGATCCCCAAAACCAGGAAACAAACAAACCTTGACTCCACAAACTAGCAACAAATCCACGCAGTTACTATCACCTGACTCACTAAGTGCCATTCAGCAAGTCAAGACTTTTTATGTGCGGCTCTAAGGCTCTAATGGTTTGAGTGGAGCCAATTCACTACTGATAGGCACAAGTTTTCACTATTAACTCAGTTCTGGAATCTGAAACCATGCGGCTTCGAATATCTTACTGACATAAGCCTCTTTTTTTCGCAATGTGTCTCTATCTTATACCAGTTCCACGGAACTGTCGAATTTCCTCTTCTTTTGCTGGCTGGATCTTTCAACGTTACAGCAAGATCTCCATTTCTTCAACACAGCAATCTTGGCAGTTCAGACATTCCGCTCTCACGCCACACCTATCCTTGCACAATCCTCTGTATTGTCTATGACAAATTATATAACGCTATTATTATATGATGTTCTTAGAGCTTCTTTTACGATCCCATTTCACATGAAAAGCACCAATAACAAAGTTGGTCTGGGTCTTACAGCAAGGAAGCCATTCGTTTCGTGTTTCTCGAGTGAGTTTGCTGTCTACAAGTGCTGGTTTAGCAGGTTGAAATTATCTATTTCGGAAGCGTTATCACACAGCATTCATCGATATAACTACAGTACATCAGTGGCATACTCGCAAGCACTGGCTCCTCAGTTCTACTCATACAGCATACCGTAGGGCTCGGCGTTAAGCTTTTGCCCACTGCAAGTCCTCGTATATGGGGAAAGTAGCTTCCAGACCATTTAAGGATGTCGCAATTCAAACATAGTTGTGTGCTTAACTCCAAAGGTATACTGATTGTCGTCATGTGCTCAACTAACATTTCCCAAAAAGCTTCATCATCGCTCTCATACCTGTAAGAGAAGTTTTTCATGCGAAATATACTAGCTTCTTCTCCTAGCTTATTACGGAATTCCAGTGTCTTTTATTCTTTGAAGCGACCACTTGTTTTCTTATAGCTAAACTAGAAAACAAATTCTGCAGTTCTCTCGACAAAGCAGTCCTACTAGCTATATATTAGGTTGGCACGAAAGTTCTTGCGTAATTCAAACAAAATTCAATAACTTTTCAAAGGCTAAACCTAAATTCACAATCTTGTATGCTAAAAATATTAGAAGTCTTACGCTTCATGATGGATGTTTAAGCGTAAGATTCCGTGAGCTAGACATCAAGAACGAAGCTCTCGAATATGGGGCTTCAAATTTTGCGATTTTGAGTTTGGTGCCAGAAAATCGCAGAGTGCCGCTAGCTAGCCGAAAAAAATCTGTAGAATTTACTTACACAGCAAAAGTCCATACGTCGTTTAAGCAGGCTTTGATCTCGCATGGAAACGCGAAAACAAAAAATTTGTGAAAATTCTCATTTCACAGGACCAATCTCCTTATCGCTCTAACTTTTCCACAGAAACACAGTTTGCAACCAGAAATTAGACATAGTGCCTATTTAGAGCCTTGCGACGTTTTCTCGGTTGTAAAAAAGTGTTTTCGCCGGAAAACTGCGGACTTGAGGGGATTTTTTCCGCAAAATGACTTATTTCACGAATTTTTTGTTTTTGCTTCACCGTGCAAGATCAAAGCCTTCCAAAGTAACATATGGACTTTTGTTGTGTAAGTAAATTCTACAGATTTTTTTCGGCTAGCTAGCGACACTCTGCGATTTTCTGGCACCAAACTCAAAATCGCAAAATTTGAAGCCCCATATTCGAGAGCTTCGTTCTTGATGTCTAGCTCACGGAATCTTACGCTTAAACATCCATCATGAAGCGTAGGACTTCTAATATTTTTACCATACAAGATTGTGAATTTAGGTTGAGTTTTTGAAAAGTTATTGAATTTTGTTTGAATTACGCAAAAACTTTAGTGCCAACCTAATATTAGGTCGTTCCGAAAGTTCTTTCCGTTTTTTCAACATATCATAAAAACACGTGGAAAGAAGAAAGGGAAACGCTTCAGGCACTGTCCGACACAACTTTTCTTCCTCTTTTCAACCATCATATTCTTGTGCCGCTCGCTCTTGTGGTCAGCGAGATAATGGCAAAATTTCGGACCCATGGTTTTTACCATGTCCAACTTTGGCAATTTTTCACTATCTTCTTTTTTGACATTTGGAAAAGCTTTGATAGCAGTCGAATAGAGTAAACAATTCGGCATCTAGAGCTAGCCTCAAAACATTTTTAGAATTACTTTTCTGATGCTATCAAATTCCACTTTTGGGGATGCCAGAAGCCATAGAACATGAAACGGCGCACAACTAAAGTGTCATTCGATGCAGCTTTTTCTCGTCTTTCTGATGAGTGCTTTTTCTTCTTAGTTCGTGGGGTCTTTGGCGATAAAATTTCCATAAATCTTGATTTTGAACCCGCCTCATGATGTGCCCGTGAAATGCGAAATGTTATATTTCGAAGCGGTAAACGCTCAGTTACTTTGTAAAAATAGTGTACAATCATAAACGACTTTTGAAAGTTTCGAAAACCGAAGATTTGTTGATGTTCAGAGCGTTTGTGTGCTTTGTGACTCTGAAAAAGTGAAGACTTCTGAAAAATTAATCTCAAAAAATAATGAGAGGCCAGCTGAAAAAAATTGCATTGCATTGCACTTTGTTTACTCTATCCGATTGTTATCAAAGCTTTTCCAAAAGTCAAAGAAGAAGATAGTGAAAAATTGCCAAAATTGGACATGGTAAATACCATAGGTCCGAAATTTCGGCCATTATCTCACTGACCACAAGAGTGAGCGGCACAAGAATAAGATATTTGAAAAGAGGAAGAAAAGTTGCGTCGGACATTGTTTGAAGCATTTCTATTTCTTCGTTCCACGTGTTTTTATGATATGATGAAAAAACGGAAAGAACTTTCGGAACGACCTAATATTTCTGTCAAATACGAAACATTTAAAGCTTATCAACGCAGTTTGTCACGAAATAATGTTTCCTTTGCACTAGTCAAAGATTTCGATAACGAAAATTGACTTATAAACCCGTTTTTTAATTGGCCGGGAAACTAACCCTAAAAACATCAACTACAAATTCAGACCCTTTGAAGTTCTTATTCAGGTTGTGAGCTCTTGCGCTTCTGTTTGCTTTCCCGCCCCCCCCCCCCCCCAGCTTTCCTCTAGAAGCAACTAACTCTGACTTTAGGCTGAGCTTGCAAGCACGTGTATACTTGCACTTTTCTTTTTCAGGACTCGAAGTATGTCACAATGAGGTTGGCTGCAAGTAAAATTGGCCAATCAAAATTATATGAATAGAGATGTTTCTTTTGACTGCACTCGCTTTCAAAAAAGTTTACACGAACATGCAGCACCATATTATGCCTAAGTCACCAAAAGTTCATGAAAGAACTAATTTCCTTTTCTATAAAATTCTGGACGAGTGGCGTAGTGATATGAGGCGCAGCTATGACCAGATCGGATATAGGTTCGATTCCTGCCCCTGCACCAAGCAAGCCCCCTACCCTCCTGGGCCGGTAAATTGGTACCAGAGTAATCTGGAAGGGTAAAAGCACTGACTTGGTAATCGGCTGACCTCCATAAGTCATTGGGCTCTTACGCCTTCATTTCGATATGGAGTTAAGTGCATTCGCGGCATGCCCGCAGACGCCGAAGCCTTTGTCCATAATAAGAGATTTGTTGCTGAAATCCTTAAGATGGCTTGGACCCGGTGATTCGAGTAACCATTAGTTGGTTTATTACGCGATCATGGTTTGACGGATGAGGTGCGTGAAACAGAGTAAAAAGACGAAGCTTAGGTGCAAAAATCTTGGTATTGGTCTTGAAACACTGACCCGTACAAAAACGAAGAAATCATCATTTTTATATGTTCGAGTAATTTTTCTTGAAAAGTGAGTAATGCAAATGAGTCACAGCAATTCGATTCATTACACATACCTGAGTTTAAGTATGAAGAATGATACATATACTCATCAATAATGCAAAAATGGGAAAGAACATGGCAACGATATGAGCTGTTGAGGACCCTAAGTGCGGGATATCTTCAAGAATCGGACATGGCAGAAGATTGTGGTTTTCCTGTGTGAGAGACTTTCCTTGAGCCCATCGAAGTACGTTTTCCTTCGGGTAGAACGTCTTGATTTACGTTCTTTCGCTCACGTCAGTACTATCGTGGCCCGCTCACTTGGTATTGAGAGTAATTAGTCCAATAGAGAATATTGAACAAGATGAAGCACAGTGGAAACAGCGCTCCTAAAATGTCCATTATAAAGAGAAGACTGTTATCACAAAACTTAAACGAACAAAATCGCGACTCGCGCACGCATTCCGCAGCACTCGCGGACGATTTATAAATAGGACTTACTTGAGACCAGATCCGCCTTTTTAGCGCTGTCGGCTGGCTCTAATTGTTTTTGTACCCATGCTATCAAACAGGACTTTCGCAGCATTCGCTTGAGCCTGCTCATCCTGAATCACGTAGATGAGGAGGAAAAAACGAGTGAATAAAATTGAAATAATGGATGAATGAATGACTAACCGGCTAACAGACCGTGGATTTAACACTAGCAACTCTGCTGCCTCATCAAACCGACCTTGTTTCATCCAAATACCACCTGATGTTTTCCGTGCTCGTAAATCCAGCTAGAAAGAAGGTTATACTATCCTCCTAAATCGTGGTAGGACTTCCCATCGCTTACCGTAGTCCTAGGCAAAATAGCATGCTGATTTGTCATCACTAAAGAACCTGTTCGAGGTTCAGCTCGAGCTGCTGAAAAAAAAACAGTTTACGGGAAAATTGCCTCGAAAGCTATAGTACTACCTTTATTTAAAGATCTTGTAGAAATATAAGTGACCCAAGCGAATTCCAGTAACGCGCCAAAGATAAACGTCAAACATGCTCCAATCCATACATCGATGGCTTTTGTATAGGAAACCGGGGGCAATTTCGCATTTATACCGGATGCCTACAACAAACACAATTGATAACTATTGCATAGCGCTCACTTATCAGTACATTAGATAAGTATCGATCGATTGTCGACAGCTCTTACCTGTGTGGTCATAGTTAGTAGCGTGGTAACTCCTAATGTAACCCTAGCTGGTACAGCTGTTCGATCCAGCCAGAACGACACCCATGACACTATGACTAGCATAGAAGATGGGATATATAGTTGTAGAAGATAGTAACTATAAACAAAACAAAAATAAGGTTGTAGATTTGGAGAAAAGAAGTTTGACCTACCTGAATTGTCTCCTAAGCTCCAAAACTGTCCGTAAACATGAGTATGTACCCGTATTAGTTTTGCTAGTACAATATGTAGTAGACACCTACGAACAGCCAATAATATTTCGGAAATGAAGTAGAAACCAAAAGCTCACATTATTTAATTGAAAGCTAGGTAGGGAGGAGTTTAGCCCGTCTTTGAGTTGTACTGGATCTTTTTCTTTCCATCGATATTCTGAATAAAAAACATTTGGAAAAGTATGTTGGGGTATCGACATATACAACGCCAAACAGTCGTGCAATTGATTCAAATAAGAAAGTTAGGGAAATTCTGGACCACAATTTCTCGAAAAAGCCTGTCACTAGCGCAAGACTTCTTTAAGCACTCAAGAAGGAGTTTCGCATCAGTCGCGGGAAAGTTTTCACGAGTCAATGGAAATGAAAAAGACAGGGAAATCGCAAAGTGCAAGAAAACAAATGCCTTTGGAAATTTAACTATTTTGTTGACTTTAAAATTCCTGAAATATACTTACCTATATCATTATCAGTATAGGCATAGGAGGCTAGATCAATCAGACATGTTTGCACATCCATAGGATAGTACTGAAATGAATACTTATTGGAAAGTAAATGAATAGTTTAAAACTGCATCAAACGTTCCAAGGAGTAAAATGCGCAAGAAATCTAGAAATAGATGATCCTCTTTGCTTACCTGCAAATGCATTGGACATGAAAGCACCATTGATATCCTAACTGAGTATAGAATTTGACCGTCCTTATGCACTCGAATCAAAACGTTTGGCTTGTCAATCATATGTTTCTGCGCTTGTTTTTCGTTCTGGAATAAAGGCAGCTAGTTATGGACCAGAAAAACCATAAAAACTCGAAATGTACCTGGAAAAAGCTGTCAGGCATCCAAATTTGCTGTCCAGCTGTCAAGATGAGAAAGTCGGGTTTATTGTCACCCGGAAGACCATAGGCCAACCGGCCATCGACCCACGATTCTCGAAATGTTAGCTGAACACTGTACTCCATATTCACGTCATCGATTTTCGAGATGCTGTAAAAGTAATTTTTTTTCTTCAATCCCCAAGCAACTCTATAAAAGCTATGAAGCTTAATGTAGCTTCGGTGAGATATTCGTCGCATGTCGATGCCTTCAACGTGCTAATAATGATGCCAATTATCGCGCAAGTATGCTCAGATTACACCTCGTCGTCAACTTCTCCGTCGTCAGAGCGAAGTAATGACTAGCTACGGATATCCAAGAAACGTAACATAATCGCCCGCATATTATAGTGACGCAGAGATAACAAAAAGAGATATAATCACTAGCAGTGGGTTTTATCAAACACTGCAGTGACCCGATGAATGTGAAAAAAAACAGACACTTTCACGGTGGCATGCAATTTATAGATTTGTCAAACTGCTAGCAAAGTCCTGTAACTCAAAAAAACACTCACATCAAGTTTGTCTTTTCTGGAGAATTACTGGTATAGGTAAGCATACAAACAGCATTACTATCGCGAATCTCCGTCTATGGCCTGAGGCAGAGTTCGCGCGATCTCATCGTCGCGATTCATCGCGACAAGACAACTGCAATAATATCGTTGCATGCTGATCTTCTCGCATTTTGATGTGATAGTTTCCCGACAGGATTAATCGTGACTAACTATCACAACCGAAATACAAGAAGATCGGCAGGCAATGAACTTGTGTCAGTTGCCTTGTCGCGATGAATCGCGACTATAAAATCGCGTTAACTCTGCTCGAGGCCTAGGCGAAAAGCTGCTACTCATTGTAATGACCACTGGTTTTTATGTGCAGGAATATTCGTGAGGTTAGGCAATTGTTGTTGGACATTACAGATCTACCAAAAAAAAACGGCACAGATTGAACGACAGGTTTATGCATGATTCTGAAAATGATTACACAAATTTGTGTCTTGGTCCCAATTGGCCCCATTTAAATCTACAGAGTCGGCTGCGCGGGCGGTCGCGTCGCGCGCGCAGCCTTTAGCAGCAGGTCACGCTTGCCGTGTGCGCTACACTCTGCTGGATGTAGGTATATAAGATAGATGCTTACTCACTTCCTTATGCGCTATCTGGATTTGTTGACAACACCAACGGTTTCTACATTGAAATGTGGCAATCAACGGTTTTTTGATATTGAAATGTGGCAGTCAACGGCTTTTTGACAGTGGAATATGGCGATCTTTGCTGAAAGATTGAGCATAGTGCTTGATCGGAACGAGTTGTTATGTCATTCATTTGATTTTGAGCTTAGCTCGCCAAATGTGTTTGCATGCCTAGATTTACATCCTTTGAATGTACCGCAAGTTCTTTTTTCTTGTTAAAACTGTCGTAAGAATCCTGTTAGAGTGAACGCTTCCATGAATCTCGATTATTCTTATCACCTCCAATTCTTCCACTGCAGGACTATTGGTTATGGTAGGTCTTTTTCGAAGATGAAAATGATTTTTCGCATGTGCTCGTGGGATGACATCAGTATCTCACAAAGCAAAAAAGATGTTGCGTCATTCGTATCTTGTTGTGACTATGCAAAAGAAGCAACCTAAGGCATCTGAAGTCCTGACGTTCTCTGCAGTTTTGTTTGTCATATAAAGTCCCTCGGTATGCTGCGTTCATCTCTACCATACATAGGGCAAGCACAGAATAATCAGGTCTGGATGCCTTAAGGCGACTCTTTATAACTGCTGGATAGTAGATGACAGAAACATATATGTTGGAAGACTCAGGAGACCAAGCGTATTGAGAATTAAGATCTTGTAAGTAATTGACATGCATCTCTCTCCAGAACATCTTTGCAGATACACTACATTATAGGCGGAGAAGTTCACGAAAAGGTGCGCAAGAGCGAGAGCCCGCGTGCTTATCGTAAAAAGTCATCTGTTGATATAGTACCCATCTTTAGCAAAAAGTTTTAGCATGCCAAGCTATCGATCTTATTTTTTCATACAAACTGTTCGATTTTCCAAACTACCTTTTCCAAGTCGTAGGCGCAGAGTAACCTTTGTTAAGTCAATTTGCCATTAGAAAAGTCAGAAGTAAGGATCAGGGTTGTTAAGATCTGAGCACGGCAACAATGAATGCTCATCAACTTCTCCGTCAGAATTTGGTTGAGATTGACTGTTTGAGATGAGCACACAATCGAACGCATTGGGGCCTGTCATACTATTCCTGTGATTCCTGCGGGTCCCCAACAATGTATGTTGCGAAAAAACAATGTATACTCAAAATCCGTAAAGCGCTCCGTAGTGCGATACATCGGAAGTCGTGAAATCACAGGCACTACAGGAATTGGAATCGCAGGAATCAACTTTTGGAATAGTATGGCGGGTCCCATTTGCCCAAACCGCGGGAGCTGTCAAGGTTATAGCTCTGAACTGAATTGAGATTAAAATCATCTCAAAAACCCGAGAAGCGTCTATGAGAACTCCATCCAAGCTTGGGTGCCCAAGCTGCCCATAGGTAGCAAACTTACTTCTCCAAAAAAGGCTTCTTAAATATCTGTCTGGAGTCTCCGCATCACTTGGTGGCTCGACGTAAGAGAAGAGCCCATACAGTGTAAACTGCAGTACCTTCGATCTGTTACCAATCGATTAGTGACAGCACATATCGAAATGTTGAAATTTAGCATTGCATGACGGCGGACCCGAGCGTGACCTGCTGCTAAAGGCTGCGCGCGCGACGCGACCGCCCGCGCAGCCGACTCTGTAGATTTAAATGGGGCCGTCCCAATTGCCACGAAATTAACGTAAATCTATGAAAAGAAGCTATTATCCTGTTTTCGTAATCATTACGTGTATCATACAAAAGCGTTTGGTTTAATTGTCAAGGGGGACCATTTCGAACATAAGGGAAGCAAAAGACTGCCTTTCTACTTTTGTATGATTATGGTAGGTTCAGATGTGTGTATATTACTTTTAGCCTTCCTACTCCTTTGCAGTAAGAAAAGAGAGGTAAAAATGTAGAAGTGCAGACTCGTAGGAGTAAAGACTTATTCCTGGATCTTGCGCAAGAAATGATGAATTCTTCATAATTCAAATCAAGCAGCCGTTACTTTCATCGAACAGATAAATTTACGATTTGAAAAAGCAGCAAGAATTGTAAAAAGGAATGTGAAAAGTATACTTGAAAACTGAAATGTATGTTGCATGTTATCAACAGTTTAAGGAAATGGCGGCACCAACCTTCTAATTAGCATGTTGACGTTGACGACAACCGGGCCATGGCTACCTGTAACGAATAACATCTAATTTCAGGGATCACATCATTTCAAAACTGTGTAATTGGTTGTTAGATGTTAGATGTAGCTACTGTTGATTACGATGGATCAATAGATACTCACATCTCTTGATACTTGAAAAAATTTGTGGAAAAAAAGCAACAAAGAAACTCATTCTAATCGAGATCATACTACAGAACTGATAGAAAGACAGGTTTTGAAACTTGCGCAAAAATGGGGGAAAATTACGCAAGTCGATCAAGCCAGGACTTGCTTTGAAAAGTGCGAATGCTATTCGCGAAAAAAGCTTGAAACTGCATAAGAAGTTCAAAGCAAGCGTAGAGAGAATGTACGCAAGTGAATTTGGTGGCCTAACTGTTGGAAAATCGAAACTCGCTTTCCGGAAAGAACTGTAATATACTAACGGTAAGCATGCAATAGGACAGAGAATTTTTAAAGTCTCAAAATGCACAATACTAAGAACAAGCACTAACCTTTTGCTGTCAAATTTATTCCAGGCGGCCGTACTCTCCAGTCGTAGCCTTTATTTAGCAGTTTTTTGATAATCTCTGTGTCTGATGTCGCATCGGCATTACTAAAACAAGACTAAAAATTTTGACAATACATATCTCATTATCAAATTCCAGTTATCAAATTCCATTTATGGTCCCCATTATAAAGTTGTATTTGCTTCATACGCTCAGATCTTCAACACAACAAAAATTGCGCCTTGACCAGTTTACTGGGCAATAAAACTGTGGACAAACGGCTGGCAAAAAATGTCCACGGTGTGTGCAACATTTGCATTAGCGGAGTACTGCCGTTTATACTCGGTTTCATCCCGAATTAGGCGAAACATTCTATGCGGAGCAGCGCGTGCGCATCGTTGGGGGACTCGCGAACGCATATCGCTGGCATTTTGCCAAGAAAAAATTAAGGAGAATAAAGGGACGCAGACTTGGGTTCTCAGCACAATGTGACAGACTGTAGCTGCAAAATGGCACGGACCATTGCGAGGCGAACGCCCACCAGTCCAATTTCCCCCTAAAGCGGGTCGAAACTTACTGTATACTTAAGATCTAAGCTTGATGACCTGTGTAATGACACAATTTTTAGACTTGTAATATAGCGCTAAAGCCTTACTAATACCTGATGCGACGTTAATCTACCAAAGTTGGGCTATTTAGCAAGAAGTTTACGTTTTCGCTTCCCACGTTACAAAAGAAATAACATTCACCACCTAAGTAGGATGATGAGCCATACTGAAACACTTGACGTTTGAAACAGTGTGTATAGATGGTTGAAGCGGAAAAATGGGAAGAAAAGAACTACAAAAAAGCAAGCATACAATGAAACTAGCGCGCCCCACGGACACTATAAATCCAAAAAAGTGTGCAAATGCACAAGTACGCAACTTGACGCCAAGCAAATGCTCTTTTCTGGTCAGGCTTTTGCATGTGAAACCCCTCTCCCTTTCCCAATAGATTCTTGCCAATCCACAAATCTCATGCGATACTTTAGCTCTTGTTTGTCAAGCACTTCATCTAAAGTGCCAACAACTTTGCTGGAGCCAGAAACGACGTGAACTATTGAGCTAACTCGCTTACTCAATGCTTACCATTGCGGAATTCGATCCATAGTCAGAATAATGCAGAAAAGTACAATAGCGTTTAGTAGTACGGCCCCACAATGCTCGGGTCCCCGTTGTAACATTGGGACCTTCTAAAGCATGTAAGGGGAATGCGGAGGAGCAGTCGGAAGCTTTGAAGGTGCTCCGATTGTAGTGCTGAATTTAGCAAGGTTTGAGCTATTCCGCTAAAAGTACACGCAGAGGATCTGACGTCGCACAGCGAAGAGAAGAAACGATGATGATTGGTCAAATACGCAACTAATTGGGCGTGGCTTATTGGTGAGCAGCCGAGTAAAAGAGAGATGCGGATAAGTGGCCTTAGTAAAAGAGTTGTAGAGGAACCTACTGCGGAAGAGGAAGAAAGATCGATAAGAAGTATAGGAAGTAAAATATAAAAGAGAAAAAGAAGGAAGTGATGAATTGAGCAATTATTGGACTATACTTCGATAAAAAGGTGTAGTAAAAGGTCTAAGAACTGCGCGAATTTTTCTTTTTATCCTTCTTTCTTTCATCTTTGATTTCCATTTACCAAAGTAGAATGAATATAAAATGAAAGTAAAATGTAAAGGCAAAAATTTTAGATTAGATCGTCAACAAGTGGACAAATATAAGAGAGCCCATATAATCATTTCGACGATTAAAATAGTGTTCTTACGGTAGAAACAACATTTGCGCGCAAATACTAGCCGCTGAGAGCAGAACTTGGAAATGTGCGCTCTATGGTCAATTTTACGCGTAAGTGTTGCCGCCACTGAAGTGCACTGAATTAATCGCTAAAATACGCTAGACTATATGCGTGAAAGAGCCGAGACGAATAAAATATAAAAATATGACTGAATCAGCTTGAAACCGATGAGGAGAAAAACCCGCAAAGGTCACGAAATTCAAATTCGGTAATCTTTTATATTTTTATATTAAGAAAAGAGGATTTCGTCGAATAATCCAAAGATTTAAACTTCAAATTCAACTGGCTTTGCGGTTGGAAGATGGAACTTCGTGACCTAATTAGAGCTAGGTCATGATCAGAGAGCACGCGCGCGGGAGAGACGCAAACTGCGTCGCGGGCGCAAGCGGCCTTGATTAGGTCACAAAGCCCCGCCTTCCAGCCGCCAAGTCAGTTGAATCAAAGATGTTATAATATTATTGGAACAGATTAATAACGTCGGTCTCACTGCTTTTGAGTCGCATAGAGAACGTAGAATAGATGACACGTAGACGCTGAACGACTTGAAACAAACAAAACCTCAAAAAAAAGGCTCCTTATTTTTATAGCGAAATATTGAAGAATGTAAGAGTTAGGAGCAAGCTTGAACAAGTGAGTATTAATCCATTAGCAATTTTAAGCGATAAAACCAGTAAGAGGAATCGATATTGCTGATTTCGTACGCACTCTGGCTGCTAGTTTTTCTCGAGTAGCAAAATACATTGGGAAATATGTGGAATTCTTGAAATTGCTAGGATTCTCCAATAATGTAATCGATACGAAAAACTGGTCTGAAATGCATTGAAAGAGTTCTGCATAACAGCAGAAAGGCTTCCCAAGGCAGGATATCAGTTTTTCCAATGATATGTGTGGGAAACATTTGGAAAGAACTACATCCGATATCGCGAATTCATACGTGTGTGACTCAAGCATAGAGCAATGATGCAAAGTTGCATTGCGATGTCATAGAAGACAAAAAACTTGGGATAAACATGCTAATCAGCGAGAACTGGTCCCCGTTCAATAATGGTGCATTTTGAACAGAAAAAATTCCCAAGTGAGGTAGAGAATTAAGCAAATCTATTCCGTCTGGATAGAAAGGAAAGACCAAAAAAGCTTAAATGGGCGGAGCCAAAAAAAGCTAAAGTAGAGATACCAGACAAGAAAGAATGAACAAAGAATTGCATGTGTAGGCAACACATATAATTTGTCATTTGGATAAAAATAAGAGAAAGTGTGTCTTTTGTGCGAAAACTGGTCTCCACCTCAAGCGAAAACTGGCCTTCAAGAGTCGTAAAAGTGTTAGATGACTATCAATTCATCGATGTCAAACTTTAAAGAAAACTCGCGCTACCTATTGTCTGCAAGAGTTATGAAAAAAAAGAATTGATAGGGCCATACTCGACCTGTGAACCGTACGGAACCAGTTGAGCCGAAGTAGCCGACTAAACGGAAGGCATTTGGCATTTGGTGTTGCGTAAGAAAAAATCAAGACTGCCACGTAATCTACGAAAGTAATAGTAATGGTTTGCAACAGATAATACGTAGGATTTTTCGATTTAGGGAAAAAAGGGGAAAGAGCTTATTCTTGCCCCATTGCAGGCCGGTCTGATTTTGATTACGCTGCACCAAATGCCAAATGCCCGTTGTTTAGTGCGCCAGTTCATTCAGTCAGTTATGAACTGGTTCGAAGTCGTTATGTTCAGATAATATGGTTTCATCATGCCATTAAGACAGGCGTTACTGCCTCAGTGACATAGTGAAGCATATTTTTTAAGCACAAGGTGCAATTGCAGACATCGCACTGATTAGTGCAGTTCGTATGTGGAGACATGAAATCATAAATATTCTGAGAAATCATGGATTCTATAAGAATAGGACATGATGAGAGAGAAAGTGAAAAGAACGGAAGGGCAGAGAAAAATTGCGACGGAAGACGAGTACTTTGAGCTTTTTATTTGCTAGCTGCTATTGGTGCAGAAAGAAGGAGCGACTGCAAGTATAATTACCCATGTACTAAATGAGGCGACATATAATTATAGAGACTTTCAGTTTTGCTGGAAAATATTGGTAAATCAAAAAAATTGCTAGAATATTCTGACGTTGTAGGTATTTTCCATCTATTTCTGCAGAGAAATGAGATTTCTTTGCAGCGCGGCATTAGCTGCAAAGCTCTTCAGAAAATTTCCAGGGCACTTCAAACCTTCTCCCCGCGGAAAACCGCTCTACTTATTTCCTAATTTTCCCCCGTTTTTAGCCGAGCTGAAAAAAAATTAATTGAAAGTCAAATTCACAGCTGACATTCCGAATGTGTCTCCAACACTGCTCGAGGCGAAATTCTTTGCTCGCCTTGACTCGCGTCAAAATGTCCGTCGAAAGTTCAACTTTAGGATGAAATATAAGCCACTTAGCAGGAGCTGCGGCTGCCTTAGTCGGTTGAAGAAAAGTGCGCTGCACCACCCATGTGTCTTCTTGCACTATGCTATTAGAATAAATGAGTTACTCTCTGAAAATGAACTTGCAAAGGTCATGGGCAAATCGCGCTGGCTGACAGGTCAGAATGGATTGAATTTTGATGAGACGCATGGGAATAATTCGGATTCTGGAAAATCAGTAGGTTTGGACAACGCACAGTAATTGGTCAAAGTTACAGTAATATGTCCGGACAAATATAAACTAGCTCCCTTGAGAGCCAGAAGCTTATTATCTGAACATTTGTAAGCTATTAGGCTTGACGACCAATGTTCATGCAGTGAAAGCTACACTTGAGCACGAAATTCACCACTGAGCTGTGCCTAAGCGCCATGATACGCGCAAATGCTGTCGCCACCGCAAGCGCACCATATTAGGCAGGTGATCTGCTAAGATGTATTTTTACACTGAGTCACCTCGACGATTGTCACATATTTTGGCGTTAACATAAGGAGCGAAAATATGGTGGAACTTGCTATGTTAACGAAAAAATGGACTGAATGTTCAAAAACAAATATATGAACAACCAAAACAAAAAGAACGATTTGGCATGGTCAAGAGATTTGTATAATGTGGATTCTGCGTCGTATAATCATTTTTAACGCAAAAGTGTTGTTGGTACCGTAAGGGCACCAACTAAGCGTCATGTCCACTTGACTAATCCATTCGAGCTTCACATTCATGTCATTCGCCGATTATTCATTCGGTGAATGGCTGTCGCACAGATGTCTGAGTTCCTAGCGCTATGGGATCTGCTATTTTATCTGAAACAAATCTGTTAGTAAATTTGCTTTGGCATCAGTTAGTGAGAGTAAAATAATTTGCATAGAGACACAATCGCTTGTGATTGTGTAAATATAAGAACAGGATAGAAACAATGATTTTTCGTATGCTCCAAACTCGGCTGTTTATGAATCTTGGCATCATGGCATCAACGGTTTTTCGTATGTAGCGCAGGAGCAGTGGATAATGAGTAAATGGCTAGAAAATTAATACGAATTGATGTCAGAGCGGAAAAAAGTGGATTTTTGAATGGCCGGATGAACAGTTGATGGATAGATTCTGCAACTGATTGAATGTATGAATCATTGGAAGGCCAACGTGTTGATTTAATAATTAGAGGGAATAAATATAAAAATAAGTTTCGCAAATTGATGAAAGGTGTTTGATTGATTGAACGAGCAGACAAGAAAGGAAACTAAATTAGCAAGTACCCTCTGATGCAACCAAATTGGCGGCTGGAAGGCGCGGCTTCGTGACGTACTTAAGACTAGAGAATGATTAGAAAGCAAGCGCTCGGGAGAGACACAGACTGCATAGCGGGCGCGAGCGGCCTTAGTTAGGTCACAAAGCCCGCCTTCTAGCCGCCAATTCAGTTAAATCGAAGTTTACTGATATCAAAAGCAGCAGATACTGATTGGAAGGCATTATTTGGAAAAGCATCAGATCATGTGACTATTTGTGATGAGAAAATCCAACGAGTTGTCCATATCTACTTAATCCGAGCGAACTATTCAGTCTTCGAGTACGGTAGAAAATTAGGTCTCAACCAGAGTTTAGGGCTGATTTTATCAACAACGAATAAACCATACAAGTGTCGATAGAGCAATGGCATATTTGAAATTTCTCAATTGGTTTCGACATAAGAAATTCAGAAGTCCAGGTTTGTTTGCAGGCTGATTCGAACAAATCGCAAATAGCATTAACAACGACCTTGCGAGTATTTCAAAAATAATTTTTGAAGTTTAAGAAACAAAGATAGCATTCCAGTATGATCAAAATTGAGTAGAATTCAAGGGATAACATGTCGAGGTCTATACGTAGATGACAGATCAATGGCGAATTCGACAGCTTAGACAAAGCCGCGTAAAAGCAGACTTTTCTCCTAACGTGATAATCTTTGCCGTCTGGGAACTTCGAAGAGGCAGAAAATAAGCTGCTTTCTGCTCGCCTAACTTGCTGTGTGAAGCGATTAATGACGTT